CTAGTAACCCCTTCTCCAGTATAAATTACTAAATTTAAAAAGTGAAACTTTTTTCTTTTTGGGCCACCCTGCCTCAGTGGGATATGGCTGGTTTGTTGAAAGAAGTGAGGCTCAGGTTAGGGTGTGTAGGAGAGAGGGAGATTACATCCCAGTAAAAGTAGGTCTTAGATAGGGATGTGTAATGTTACAATGGTTGTTTAATATATTTATAGATGGGGTTGTAAAAGAAGTAAATGCTAGGGTGTTGGGGAGAGGGGTGGGATTAAATTATGGGGAATCAAATACAAAATGGGAGTTGACACAGTTACTTGTTGCTGATGATACTGTGCTTATGGGAGATAATAAGTTGCAAAGGTTAGTGGATGAGTTTGGGAGGGTGTGTAAAGGTAGAAAGTTGAAAGTGAACATAGATAAGAGTAAGGTGATGAGGGTATAAAATGATTTAGATAAAGAAAAATTGGATATCACCCTGGAGAAGAGTATGGAAGAAGTGAATGTTTCAGATATTTGGGAGTTGACTTGTCAGCGGATGGGTTTATGAAGGATGAGGTTAACCACAGAATTGAAGGAAAAAAGGTGAGTGGTGCATTAAGGTATCTGTGGAGACAAAAAAAAAAAAAAATCCATGGAGGCAAAGAAGGGAATGTACAAAAATATAGTATTCCAGCAGGCCAGACTTGAGTCCTGGAGATGGGAAGTACAGTGTCTACACTCTGAAGGAGGGGGTGTTAATGTTGCAGTGAGCGATGAAAGTTTTTCTTTTTCGGGCCACCCTGCCTTGGTGGGAATCGACTGATGTGTTAAAAAAAAAAACACTCTTATATGGGTGTGAAGCTTGGGCTGCAAATGCTGCAGCAAGGAAGTGGTGGAAATGTCCTGTCTAAGGGCAATGTGCGGTGTAAATATTTTGCAGAGAATTTGCAGTGTGGAAATTAGGAGGTGTGGAGTTACTTAAAGTATTAGTCAGAGGGCTGAAGAGGGGTTGAGGTGGTTTGGTCATTTAGAGAGAATGGATCAAAATAGAATGACTTGGAGAGCATATAACTCTGTAGGGGAAGGAAGGCAGGGTTAGGAGTGATCCTTGAAAAGGTTGGAGGGAGAGGGTAAAGGAGGCTTTGTGGGAGAGGGGCTTGGACTTCCAGCAAGCATGTGTGAGCATGTTAGAGGAGTGAATGGAGGTGAATGGTTTTTGGGACCTGACGAGCTGTTGGAGTGTAAGCAGGGTAATATTTTGTGAAGGGATTCAGGGAAACCGGTTAGCCGGACTCGAGTCGTGGAAATGGGAAGTACAATGCCTGCACTTTAAAGTAGGGGTCTGTGATATTGGCAGTTTGGTGGGACTTCTAAACTGTCGTATCTGAGCGCTTCTGCAAAGACAGTGATTATATACGAGTGAGGTGAAAGTGTTGAATGATGATGAAAGTATTTTCTTTTTGAGGATTTTCTTTCTTTTTGGGTCACCCTGCCTCGGTGGGAGACGACCGACGTGTTGGAAAAAAAAAAATGCAGTAGTCAGCATAACAGTAAATCTTCTACTTTGTGTGTTAATAAAAAATTAAAAATGGAAAGCAAGTGTAATAATATAGAAGAGGCCTGGAGATGTAACTAGTAGAGAGGAAATGTTGCTTTAGTGCTAGAAATGTCTACGTTATATATTCTGTACCTTATTTTTAAAGTGGCAGTTTTTTAATTTTGTGTAAAAGTGACCAAATGAAATACGGAAGAACTCCTGTATCCACGGATTTGGTTTCCGTGGTTTCAGTTATCCATGGTTTACTGTGGCCAGAAAATAAGCCTTAATTTTGCTTAATAATGGTCACAAAGCACAAAAGTAGTGAGGGTGGCAGTTCTTCAAAACCTAAGAGAAGCCATGAACTGCTTCCCAGTGAAAAAGTGATAATTCTCCACTTATTGTGCGTAATTTATCAATTGAACTTTATCATAGGTACAGGAGGGCTCCACTTATACAGCACATTAAGCTCCAGGCTACTGCTCTTAACCAAAAATTGCCATGAAGTGAAACAGCCTTTTATCACTTTCAAATGCATTTTAACCTTAAACTGTCCAAACAGATTTACATTTACATGCGTAGTGCTCCAAAAGTAGATCTGCATTTTTTTTTACATATTTTCAAATATACTATATATATAAAAAAGTAGATCAAGTTTTTACACGTTTTCAAATGTAAAAAAAAAAAAAAAAATACATTTTTTTACATACTTTCAAATGTTGAAAAAACATAGATCTATGTTTGGACAGTTTAAGGGTTAAAGCCTGATATGTTTACACTATCATATATTAAATGTGCAGTAGAGCTAGACCTAAAAAATGCATATACAGTACACACATTACTTACCTTAAAATATATTCTTCCTCAGTTTATAGTAAGAAGTGAATATATTTATTGTAGGAAGTCTGAATAAATGAATGGGTATAATTGAAAACAGCTGTATTAGCAAAATGCCATAAAGTGGGGCCTGTCTGTATGTGAATGAAAAACAAAAGAGTTCACTACTATCCATGGTTTCAGTTATCCATAGTAGGTCTCGGAACATCCCCTGCGGATATGGGGATACTACTGTAGTTGAAATAGTTAAATGGATGGTTTCTTATACTCAATTGATAGAATGAAAGGTACATTAGCGAAATAACCAAGAATTTAGTCGACTGAAACACTGGAATTGGTGTAAAATAGGACTAAAAGTGGGCCAAATCGACGGTGTAAATATCGCCGAGTCCACTAACTTTACAAGTGTAATTCCATAAGTTCTCATCAATTTTTTTTTCATTTCGTAATTTTTTTTTTTTTAATTCTTGGACCCTAAAAGCAATTTTCAGATCAGGGGTCTGGACCTTGAAAGGGTTAACTGTGATAACAGCACACTTTTGGCAAGAGAGCAACTGAATGATGGTGGATTTGTTTCCTTGTTTATACCTCCCTGCCTTAGTGAGATATGGCAGTTGAGATAAAAAATAGTGAATGATGGAGGAAAGAAAAATTAATATTAGAAAATATTTTGGGGAAAGATGGACAGATGTACAAGAAGACTGGCAGTAAATTTAATGATAAAATTAACAGGAAGGAACTAAACTTATAGAGGCTATAATACAGATCCTGGGAATGGGAGGGGGTGGGGTAATTGTTTTATTTTATCAACCACTATGTAGCATATGATTAATCAAGATTAAAAACTTTACCTTTCTGCTTCACTCTGGCATTATATACAGTGGTCCCTCGATAATCGTAAGGCTCGATTGTCGTAATTTTCGAAAATCGTAACGTTATTTTCATCAAAACATTGGCTCGTGAATCGTCGTTCGTCTGGGACGTGAACACACAGCCCTGAACCGCCTCACACTCCATTCCCAGCCAGTATGCCATTGTTTATCAGTGAGTGAGGATGATCCCACGAGTTCATATGATACATTTCATAATATTCCACTTATTTTAGTGCTTGCAACTGCTAAATAAGTCACCATGGCTCCAAAGAAACCTTCTAGTGCCAGCCCTTTGGTAAAGAATGTGAGAAACACACACAATTTAAGAAAAAGTTTGTAGAAAAATACGAAGGTGGTGGTGGTAGAGTGGAAGCAGTTGTGATAGTGGTTGATGGTGGTAGCAGTTATAATAGTGGTAGATGGTGGTAGCAGTTGTAATAGTGGTAGTAGGTGGTAGTGGTTTAGGTGGTGGTAGAGGATGCCTTCTTCAGTGATTCAGCGATACTACTAACTCCTCCAATGTTGTTGGAGTTATATAGGGCTACAGAAAACACCGCCGCCTCAGCTGCTGCTTCACCACCATTATGGACGGCTTACTCTCGGTGGCCCTTATACACCCAACAACAACACAACACCTTGTGACATAAATAATGACTTACTTTATTCATTCTAGAGTATATTTCATGTTTCTATGTTATTAGTATTGTTTAATATGTCATATTAGTTGAATTGTGATAGATAAATAAGCCGCAGAGTTGATATTAGTGTCATATTCTCCAACAATAAACTTGCCATCCCTCCCTCACACAACCAAGTCTTCAATAAAGGTAAGTGTGATGTTAAATAAGAACATAAGAACTTAAGAAAGGAGGAACACTGCAACAGGCCTGGTGGCCCATACTAGGCAGGTCCTTCACAAATCCAACCCACTAACAGAACAAATTTTACCCAAGTAAAAAGCTCAGGTGCAAGTCTGACTTAAATCCAACTCCTCTCACTCATGTATTTATCTAACCTAAATTTGAAACTACTCAAGCCATAGCTTTAAGAACTTAAGAACATAAGAAAGGAGGAACACTGCAACAGGCCTGCTGGCCCATACTAGGGAGGTCCTTCACAAATCCAACCGACTAACAGAACAAATGCTACCCAAGCAATAAGCTCAGGTGCAGGTCCGACTCAAATCCAACCCCTCTCACTCGTGTATTTATCCAACCTAAATTTGAAACTACCCAATGTTTTAGCTTCGATCACCCTACTAGGCAGACTGTTCCACTCATCAACTACCCCTAATACCAATGTTCATTTACATTTTATTAGTGCTTTACATTTATTTGGTATTCTTTTCTGCATGTAAATCTATATTTAACTAGGGAAGTGACCCCTGAAGTGACCTAGAGTCCTTATGGAGGGGGATTCCCCTTCCAAACAATAACCTCTCTTCCCTCTCTCCTCCTCCCTGTCTTCCATTCAACAACAACAGCCTTCAATAAAGGTAACTGTCATGTTGAATGTTCATTCTTTTGTGCATGTAAATCTATCTTTAAGGTAAAAAAAAAAAAAAATTGTTGTTGATACTTCTGGGTGTCTGGAACGAATTAATTGGATTTACATTATTTCTTATGGGGAAAATGAATTCGAAAATCGTCAATTTCGATAATAGTAACACTTCCAGGAACGGATTGATTACGAAAAATGAGGGACCACTGTATATCAAAATTCACATTTAAAAAATTTTCTTGCACTAAATGTGGTAGGTAATTATTGGATTATGCGGTACACTTTAAAAACCTAAACTAATAAACAAAAAATACCTGTGGGTCACGTCCTGGAGTCTTGTTGAGGATAGCTTCAGCAAGTTCCAAAAAGGCCTGTTCAATGTTGATGTTCGCTTTTGCCGACGTTTCAAGGAATCGAATACCATGCTCCCGTGCAATCTGAAACGGTTAAATACACTTCTAAAATGTACCAATCTTAAGGGATTTTTTTTATGTGACTAGCAGGCTTTTGAAATAAACAGCAAACTAAATAAATAGAATTAAACAAATACAAATATTGTATGGAAAACTAAATATTAATAACTAGAAATGGATTCTTGCATTAAATACAAAATTAAAAGTCAAGTCTAACTTGCCATGAATGAAATAAACAGAACAAAATTCACATTACAGTATGTTAAAACAAAATCCCCTGTACAAAATTCAATCTAAGGTATTTTTGTGCAGGCAATGTCAAACTTTTTTTTTTTTTTTAAATACACTGACCATCTCCCATCAAGGTACAGTAAATAAAAAAAAAAATACTTTCACCATCACAATTCAAATGACCATCTGAACTATGACATCCCCAAGCCTCCCTCAGAGTGTAGGAACTGTATGTCCCACCTCCAGGAAGTCCAGCTAATAAATTTCCCATAATCCCTTCATAAATATTACCTTGCTCTCACATAACATGTAAAGCCATGCAAGTCTATCTTTTAACTCCACGCCTCTTGCCAAGACCCTCGCATTTACTTCTCTTACAACCCCATCTATAAATACAGTGGACCCCCGCATAACGATTACCTCCGAATGCGATCAATTATGTAAGTGTATTTATGTAAGTGCGTTTGTATGTGTATGTTTGGGGGTCTAAAATGGACTAATCTACTTCACAATATTCCTTATGGGAACAAATTCGGTCAGTACTGGCACCTGAACATACTTATGGAGTGAAAAAATATCGTTAACCGGGGGTCCACTGTATATTAACAAACCATGGTGACATCACACATCCTTGCCTAAGGCCTACTTTTACTGGGAAATAATCTTCCTCTTTCCTACATACTCTAACTTGAGCCTCACTATCCTCGTAAAAACTCTTCACTGCTTTCAGTAACCTACCTCCTATACCATACACCTGCAACATCTGCCACATTGCCCCCCTATCCACCCTGTCATACACCTTTTCCAAATCCATAAATGCCACAAAAACTTCTTTAGCCTTATCTAAATACTGTTCACTTATGTTTCACTGTAAGCACCTGGTCCACACACCCCCTACCTTTCCTAAAGCCTCCTTGTTCATCTGCTATCCTATTCTCTGTCTTACTCTTAATTCTTTCAATAATAATTCTACCATACACTTTACCAGGTATACTCAACAGACTTATCCCCCTATAATTTTTGCACTCTCTTTTGTCCCGTTTGCCTTTATACAAAGGAACTATGCATGCTCTCTGCCAATCCCTAGGTACCTTACCCTCTTCCATACATTTATTGAAATTGCCTGAAAACATTGTGCAGCTTGGGAAAAAATATCAGATTAGAAGCCTCTGATTGTGAAAATGTATCAATGTATTGACTTGCATTTCAATGACCTTGATGATGTGGAAATGGATCAGCAATGTTTATACAAAGAAACAGAGGAAAATTAAGAAAATGCTGCACCCACAAAAGAATTCACATTGGATGAACTATCAACGTTAACTGTGACAGCAGAAGATGCTTGTGACTTCATAATGAATGCGGATCCAAACACTGAACGAGGCATTAGTTAGGCAGGCGTTACAAAATGATATTCGATGCTATAAAGATATGTATACTGATTAAAAGAAAAAACTGTGCAAACTACATTGTTCAACGTTTTCAAAATAAAAATTATCTTTTTCTTTACCGTATATATGATACATTGTTTATTTACCACTGTAATAAAAATCTTCACTACTACTATTTTTTCATTTTTATCTTTTGTAATTCTTTATTTGCAAGTGTGTGCGCGCGCACGTACAAGAGTTTTGTCTGCATTGATTTGTACTAAGCAAACAGCTAAATATTTTAATGATCAGAGGCATTTAATCATAGTGTTGGAACATATTACATTAAAACATATTATAATAATACCTTGCATAGTATGGTATTTTTTGACACTTACCCATACTATGCAAGGTATTGCTGTATGTGGCTGCAAGGGTCGAGTCCTTGCTCCTGGTCCTGCCTCTCAACTTACTACTTGCACGATTCACTCCCTCAGCTGTTATTCTCCTCATTAGTTTTACAACAGTAAACAGGGAGACATCTAATTCAATCTCATCTGGAATGTCAATCACACAAGACAGTAACTGTACTGGTTCTAATACTGATCCTAATACGATCAATGTTTCTTTCTCCTAAGGTAATCCTTGATCCACCCTGGAGTACATTTCCTGTTATTCCTGCCTGCATTTTTAAGGTTTTGCCCCAACCTCTTGCAAGATACAGTAGCATCAAATGACTTTTTGCAGTCTAAGCAAATACAATCTCCCTATCCCTTTCCTCTCTCATATCTGTTATGTCGTCATAGAACAGCAGGTTAGTATGACAAGATTTGCCATCTCAAAAACTGTGCTAGTTACTGGTTATGAAACCACTTTATCTAACAGTGACCTAAAAATAGGAAGCATCCTGCATCACGGGTGCAAAAAAAGCAACACAAACTGGATGAAGAACTTCAGAACGTAGAATTAAAAAAATGATTAATAATGAAATACTTACCGCTTCTCCTTTTTCTTTGGGGATGACACGCTTGTCCTCCATGTCACACTTGTTACCCAAAATCATCTTCTCAACATCCTCATTTGCATGCTGAAAAATATTACATATTTAAGTAATTTTTTATTTATTATCACACTGGCCGATTCCCACCAAGGCAGGGTGGCCCGAGAAAGAAAAACTTTCACCATCATTCACTCCATCACTGTCTTGCCAGAAGGGTGCTTCACACTACAGTTTTTAAACTGCAACATTAACACCCCTCCTTCAGAGTGCAGGCACTGTACTTCCCATCTCCAGGACTCAAGTCCGGCCTGCCGGTTTCCCTGAACCCCTTCATAAATGTTACTTTGCTCACACTCCAACAGCACGTCAAGTATTAAAAACCATTTGTCTCCATTCACTCCTATCAAACACGCTCACGCATGCCTGCTGGAAGTCCAAGCCCCTCGCACACAAAACCTCCTTTACCCCCTCCCTCCAACATTTCCTAGGCTGACCCCTACCCCGCCTTCCTTCCACTACAGACTGATACACTCTTGAAGTCACTCTGTTTCGCTCCATTCTCTCTACATGTCCGAACCACCTCAGCAACCCTTCCTCGGCCCTCTGGACAACAGTTTTGGTAATCCCGCACCTCCTCCTAACTTCCAAACTACGAATTCTTTGCATTATATTCACACCACACATTGCCCTCAGACATGACATCTCCACTGCCTCCAGCCTTCTCCTTGCTGCAACATTCATCACCCATGCTTCACACCCATATAAGAGCATTGGTAAAACTATACTCTCATACATTCCTCTCTCTGCCTCCAAGGACAAAGTTCTTTGCCTCCACTGACTCCTAAGTGCACCACTCACCCTTTTCCCCTCATCAATTCTATGATTCACCTCATCTTTCATAGACCCATCCGCTGACACGTCCACTCCCAAATATCTGAATACATTCACCTCCTCCATACTCTCTCCCTCCAATCTAATATCCAATCTTTCATCACCAAATCTTTTTGTTATCCTCATTACCTTACTCTTTCCTGTATTCACTTTTAATTTTCTTCTTTTGCACACCCTACCAAATTCATCCACTAATCTCTGCAACTTCTGTTCAGAATCTCCCAAGAGCACAGTGTCATCAGCAAAGAGCAACTGTGAAAACTCCCACTTTATGTGTGATTCTTTATCTTTTAACTCCACGCCTCTTGCCAAGACCCTCACATTTACTTCTCTTACAACCCCATCTATAAATATATTAAACAACCACGGTGACATCACACATCCATGTCTAAGGCCTACTTTTACTGGGAAATAATTTCCCTCTTTCCTACATACTCTAACTTGAGCCTCACTATCCTCGTAAAAACTCTTCACTGCTTTCAGTAACCTACCTCCTACACCATACACCTGCAACATCTGCCACATTGCCCCCCTATCCACCCTGTCATACGCCTTTTCCAAATCCATAAATGCCACAAAGACCTCTTTAGCCTTATCTAAATACTGTTCACTTATATGTTTCACCAGCAACATAACAAGCAAAATCTTAATAAAACGATTACAAACAAATCACACCACAGGTGGAGCTTGAACCCATGGTGAGCGAGTCCTAAAACTCCAGCCCAGTGCATTAACCACTTGGCCAACTGGTTTTAATAAAATTCATCCCTGTGTCGTTTTAAGTTCAAACTGCTATGTAACATTTCTCTCCGACTTTCTGGACAGTGTCTGATAAAATTATAATATGAATTATTAATCAAGTCTACAACAATTATCTGGTACCTGCTGGTTGCAAGTTGCAATGTCACCATATTTCAGTCAGGATGAAATTAACACAATATACAATACTCTCGAAATAATCATAAAAATATCAGGAGACATTTGTTTCAAGTTGTTTTATTGTTAGGATACACAGTACACAAAAGTAAATCTGCAGGTAGACACAAGCTAACTGGTTGTGTGAACTCCAGTTTGTATTTTGCCTGGAAATTGTCTTCTGACAAAGTTCTTCATCAGATGACAAGGCAGTTAAGCTTCCAGTAATCCAATGAGTTATTTTTACACCCCCATTTAAAAAAACAAAGGATAACCAGAGTAATATCCTGAAAGCAATAGTGCATGGCATCACAAACACATTACAGCCTCTCCTCGCTTAACGACATACTCGTTTACCAATGATTCGGGCTTATGATGGCCTCTCTGGCCAGTATGCATACCTAAATAATGTAAATTAGTGCTGATTTCCTCTATTCTGTTTATTATAATATACAGTACGCTACTGTATAAACTTTAAAAATATACTAAAAATTTTATAAATGGTGCAAAGATAACATTAAAACAATATCAAAGATGGCTGACATAAACCCACTATTATAATGTGCTCCTTGCTTACCAATGTGGTCTTAGGAACAGAACGCCATCGTTAAGTGAGGAGAGGCTGTACTGTCTATTAATGACAAGATAAAACTTTAAGAATTGTCTTTGTTATGATGACAACAATTAATCTCATCTCTAAATACCACAAATGCAATTACAGTGGTCCCTCATTAATCATCCGGCCTGAAAGTCGTCCATTTCGGAAATAGTCCCATTATTTCGTCTAAACATTGGCTCACAAATGGTCCATTAACTCGCTAATCGTCCTGCGTCTGGGACGCGTACTCACACTCTGAGCAGCCTGGGCCTGTCTTCCCAGCCAGTGTGCCATTGTTTACCAGTGAGTGATGGTCCCCTCACTTGCTCCTACGAAATATTTCATAATACTCCATTGATTTTAGTGCTTGCAAGTGCTAAATAAGCTACCTTGGCTCCAAAGAAAGCTTCTAGTGCCAGCCCTTTGGTAAAGAATGTGAAACACACACATAATTTATGAAAAAGTTTGTAGAAAAATACAAAGGTGGTGGTGGTAGAGTGGAAGCAGTTGTGATAGTGGTTGATGGTGGTAGAAGGTAGTAGTGATGGTGTTAACAGTTGTAATAGTGGTAGAAGGTCGTAGTGGGTTCCTTCTTTAGTGATTCAGCGATTCTACCAACTCTAATGTTGTTGGAGTTATATAGGGCTACAGAAAACACCACCGCCTCAGCTGCTGCTTCACCACCATTATGGACGGCTTACCCAACAACACAACACAACACCTCTTGTGACATACGTAATGACTTCTTTTATTCATTCTAGAGTATATTCCATGTTTCTGTTATTAATATTGTTTATGTCATATTAGTTGAATTGTGATAGATAAGTAAGCCATAGAGTTGATATTAGTGTCATATTCTCCAACAACAAACTTACCATTCCTCCCTCACACAAACAAGTCTTCAATAAGAACATAAGAAAGGAGGAACACTGCAACAGGCCTGCTGGCCCATACATGGCCGGTCCTTCACAAATCCAACCCACTAACAGAACAAATGCTACCCAAGCAATAAGCTCAGGTGCAAGTCTGACTCAAATCCAACCCCTCTCTCTCGTGTATTTATCCAACCTAAATTTGAAACTACTCAATGTTTTAGCTTTGATCACCCTACTAGGCAGACCGTTCCACTCATCAACTACCCCAATTACCAATGTTCATTTATACATTTTATTAGTGCTTTACATTTATTTGGCATTCTTTTCTGCATGTAAATCTATATTTATGCTAGGGAAGTGACCTCGAGTCCTTATGGAGAGGTATTCCCCTACCAAACAATAACCTCTCTTCCCTCTCTCCTCCCTATCTTCCATTCATCAACAGCAGCCTTCAATAAAGGTAACTGTCATGTTGAATGTTCATTCTTTTGTGCATGTAAATCTATCTTTAAGGTAAAAAAAAAAAAAATTGTTGTTGATACTTCTGGGTGTCTGGAACAAATTAATTGGATTTACATTATTTCTTATGGGGAAAATTGATTCGAAAATCGTCTATTTCGATAATAGTCCTACTTCCAGGAACGGATTAAGGACGATAATTGAGGGACCACTGTACTGGTCACCTGCTACCCCCAAGTAGTCCATTAAATTCAGAGTTTGCTGTACAGTAATTTCCCAGACACTAGTTATAAACTTTACATAATATGACTGAGGAATATTTTAGATCAGAAAACAAGAAAAACTAATGAAAATAACATGGTTAGAGTGAGCAACTGAAGTAGACATGAAGCATAAAGTCTACCTAATTGATTCACTTACCTCATCTATATTTCTTAACCATTTTGCTATATTATCAAATGACTTTGCATTTGTAATGTCGTAAACCAACATTATACCCATGGCTCCTCTGTAATAGGAAGTCGTAATTGTATGGAATCTTTCTTGACCAGCAGTATCCCTGGGGGAAAAAAAAAAAATTTACTTTTGTGCAAAAAAGAATACTCTACTACTGTACTTTTTTTTTATTTTTTACCCTTTGCCATTTGTTGTGGTTATTAAATATAGGGGAATAAAGGAAAATCAGCCCTTGCAATTTAGTTATCTATTAAAAAATTATTAAAAATTACTTTCCCGAGCATTATAGAAAAAAAAAATGTAACAACTTGTCAAGGTTATATGCAATGAAATTTTTTAATCTTCCTAATATTTTTCAAATCTGCACCCAACAAATTCCCAGGCCTTGATCAACTGTAATGCCAAACTAGTCTGGTGTTACGATTTAACTTTCCCCAGTGCTATACAGTATAGCATATTATATCAATGTATAATGAGTAATTTTAATTCCTACAGTATATCATATTTGAAATACAGAGCAGCAACATGTTAATTTAATATTTGAAAGCTAATTTTACTGGAGTTTGAACAATAGAAATTGTTCTTATTTAGTAAACCAACACAGTTTGCAAAGCTTTCCTTAACCCTTTAGGAACTTTAGTCACGAATCTTCAGTTCATGTCTTGACCACGTAGGTGGAATGTCTACTCTGACCACAAAAAATAAAAAAAAGGTCTTTTGAGTATCCAGCAGTGCACATCAAGATCTCTTGTGGGGAGCTGTGGTCTCAACTAAATAGCTGACATCATCTGGCAGCCAAAGTGAAAACTATTCTCTGCTTAAGGTAATGCACATGTAGCAAATTTGAGTTTTGTGATAAATTACATAATTAATACTATAGTACTGCAAATTGACAAGTGATATAACAGTCATTACATAATTTTTTAACATTGGTCTTCTCACACTGAGGTAGGGTGACTCAAACAAGGAAACTTACTCATCATCACTCATACAACATGTCTTCTTAGAAATGTGCAGGCATCATATTTGAAATTACCTTATGAACTGCAATATCCCCATCCCTCCTTCAAAGTACAGGCACTGTACTTCCACTTCCAGGACTCAATTCCGCCTAACTGGTTTTCTTGAACCTCTTCATGTCACTTGAACAGAACATCAAGCCATAAAAACCTCTTTTCTCCACTTGTTCTAACTTAACATGCTCACACAAGCCTGCTGGATACTCAACCCACTAGCATTCAGATCTTTATCTCCTCCCTCCAACTCTTGCTGGAACAACCCCTACCCCTCCTCCCTTCCACCCCAGATTTATAAACCCTTTTGTCATTCTGTTCTCCTCCATCCTAAAACCCAAACCACCACCACAATTCCTTCTCAACCCTCTTGAATTATACCTATGGCAAACACACTTGTCAACTTCTACATGCCAAATTATTTGCATAATATTCACACCCACACAATGCACTCTCAAACATGACAACTCCATTGCTTCCAACCTCTTCCTAGTTGCAACATTTAAAACTCACGCCTTGTACCCATGCATATATAGAAAAGGGGTTAATACCACTATATTTTGGCAATTCTCCTTTTGACCTACACAGATAAACTTCTTTCCACAGATGTCTTCATACTACACCACCTTTCTTCCCATATCTATTCTACAGTTCATATCTTTCACAGATTCATCTGTCAACATGTTCACTGCCAAATATGTGAACACATCCACTTCCTCCACAACCATCCCTCCTGTTCTTTTTTTAATTTCCTTTTAATACCTCTCCCAAATCCTCCCCCAGTCTTTGCAACTTCTCTGAAGAATCTTTCAATCACAGAATTACCTTGTATATAGCATAGTTACAAACTGTTAATTTATTCACCTTGCTCATTATAAATAACAATGCAGAGATGAACCTCATGCATTTTCAAATATATAATATATGATTGTAACCAGATCTACCTGGAGTTCATTACCCTGTAACTTGTTCAGCTATCAAAACTTTGGGCTCAGTCCCTGGACCCATTATGTACCTCTAATCCTTTTCTACCGGCCACAGGATGGGTATAAGGTGTGTAATAAAGATATTAAACTAAACTAATATACAAGCAAGCTTTTTTTTTTTTTTTACCCTAAATGTGTACAAAGTATCTGAAAAGAATAAATTGTTTGAAAAAGCCATCCTAAAACATGAAATTTTTATACAATAAAATGCATTTCTTAATGGAAAAATTAACCCTTTCACTGTTGTGATTCCTGTTGTTACGCTTCAAAGATTTTTCTAATTAGCTTCCGAAATGGTAGAGAATCTTCTGAAGGTAATGGCATCAAATGTGCAAAATTTGATGGAAAACTTCTGGAATTACACAGGTGAAATTTGCACATCAGTGATCTTGCCCAAAGAGTACTATTTTAGGTCAATTAATCCCATTGCTCAATTCAACCCAATTCCAAAATATTTTCTTAGTATGCCTCCTGTTCTATCAAATGAGTGCAAGAAAATGACCATTCAACTATCAGAACTATCCTATAAAGTACTGTACATGAAAATCAGTAATTCTGCATGAACTACAAATCTGCATTTTAAAACAAGAGTCCAAAATCAATACTGTGGGCACTGCAGCCACTAAAGCAACCTTCCCTCTGTTCATTAATCAGATCCCCAGGCCTCTCATATATAACACCTGCCCTCCATTTTGAATCCATCACACAAACAACTGAAGCTTTACCCTATTTCTTAGATAATAAAATATAATGAAGAATGATTGGTCATGGTTTAGGTTATAATAATTGAAGTAGACTTAAAAAAAAAAAAAAAAAAATTAGACAAGAGGACTTACCATTCATCAGGTATATCAACAAAACTGAATAATTTTTTCCCTTAGAGGCCTATTTCAAGTACAGTGGACCCTCGGTTATCAGCTGTTTCGGATATCAGCCAATTTAATAATAATAATATTTATTTACTACAAGTACATGTACATGGTATACAGTCCTAGCTGACAACAATGACATACTACTACATAGAAAGCCACTTGTTATGCTGAGCATCTCGGGCAAATTAGGTCAGTGTCCCAGGATGCAACCCACACCAGTCGACTAACATCCAGGTACCCATTTTACTGATGGGGAACATAGACAACAGGTGGAAAGAAACACGCCCAATGTTTCTACTCTGGATGGGAATCGAACCCAGGCCCTCACCGTGTGAAGTGAGAGCGTTAACCACCAGCCACTTTTTTTGACCGAAATTCTATCCCGGTTTTCAGCCGTCATTTCGGAGATCGGCCGTATTGGACACGCAATAATAATCACTCTTGGGCACATTAAATGTCTTACTTAAGGTTAATATAGACATTCATTAATCCATCTATATTTTCTTCAAAATTATATAAGAAACACGTTGAGCGTTTGGCGAGTACCGGTGAATCAAGGAGGGAAGGGAGGGAAGGAGGGAGGGAGGTGCAGGGTAAACATTATGTTTTCTCTAATTCAGCGTTAGAGAAAACTGTGAATCTGGCATCTGGTCCAGTCATTGCCCTTCATAAGCGTTTGTTTACAATTCTCAGCATGAATTATTCATTACTTCTCCCTCTGTTTATGGTGGCATCCAAAGGTAGTAGTTAGAAACGATTAAACTTGGTGAACATGGTATGTCGATTTAATAATATGGCTGTGTGGTGTTGCCCAGGGGGAAAGGGAGCTACACATATGTACCTACATCTACCGGCTACCTACACTGAATTCCTACAAATAAATACACGTACGTACTACGTAATGAATGTACTGTGGCAGTATCAAAGCCAGGCTTTGATACCTAAAGTCCTTATGGAGGGGGATTCCCAACCCTCTCTTCCTTTCTCGCCTTCAATAAGCCAACAAGTCTCTTCAATAATGGTATGTAATGTTCATTTATCATTAAAATTTGTGCTTTATATTTATTTCTCATTGTTTTGTGTATGTAAAACTATAGCTATTCTCTATAAAATGCATTTTTTGTTAATACTTTTGAGTGTCTGAAACGGATTAATTGGATTTACATTATTTCTTATAGGAAATATTATTTCGGTTTTCAGTCTTTTCGGATTTAGGCCGACCTTCTGGAACAGATTACAGCCGATAACCGAGGGTCCACTGTATCCCCAGTCTGACTCCAACCAAAATCATCTCTTTCACCAGTGTCTTCCATTCTTCAAATGATACCAAGAGAAAGCCAATAAAACTATAAAAACCACCCTAGAAAACACCTTAGTCACTGTTTTAACCCTCTGAGGGTTTTGGACGTACTAGTATGGCTTACGACCCAGGGTTTTTGACGTACTAGTACGCCTAAATTCTAGCGCCCTCAAATCTAGTGGAAGAAAGCTGGTAGGCCTCCATATGAAAGAATGGGTCTATGTGGTCATTGTGCATGGTATAAAAAAAATCCTGCAGCACACAGTGCATGAGAAAAAAAAAACTGACCGTTTTTTTAATAAAACAGCGACTTTGCACTGTATTTTCGTATGGTATTTATTGTTGTATTCTAGTTTTTTTGGTCTCATTTTATAGAAATGGAAGGCATATCATAGAAATTGAGATGATTTTGACTGGTTTTACAATGAAAAGTACCTTGAAATTGAGCTCAAAGTAGCATAAATGTTCGATTTTTACCAAAGTTCAAAAGTAAACATATCATGCCAAGCATCCAATTCACGTCAACTGGTGAGTCTAATATTCTTTTGCAAGTGCCCCAATATGATTCATACCATTTTTTACACTAATGCAGTAGTCTGCATAACAGTAAATCTTCTATTTTTTGTGAGAATAAAAATTCAAAGTGGAAAGCAAAAGAATGTAAAAGGGGCCTTGAGACGTGACTAATGAACAGAGGAAATGTCATTTTAGTGCCAGGAATGTATTTCTTGTTTGTTCTGGACCCTATTCGGAAATTGGCATCTTTTGAAATTTGTGTGAAATTGGCAAAATTGCTAAATTCTGACCACTGAACTGGATAGTTGAAATTGGTAAATGGGTGGTTTCTTGCACTCATTCAATAGAAAATATGGAGTTCTAGCGAAATATTCATGTTTTTTGTCGACTAGTACAGTGGAACTGGCTGAAAATGGGGCTGAAAGTGGGCAAAATCGCCGATCCGTAAACATCGCCGAGACCGCTAACTTCGCGAGAGCATAATTCCGTAAGTTTTCCATCAAATTTCATATTTTTGGTGTCATTATGATCGGGAAAAGATTCTCTATCTTTTCATAATAATTTTTTTTTTTTTTTTAAATTTGGCCGACCCTGAGAAAGAGTCTCTCGGAGAGGGCCTGTCGACCCTCAAAGGGTTAAACCACATACAAGGTCAGAGGTTTGCTTTTCCCATTATTCACTGTGAGGCAGGATTTTCTTTTATACTGTCCACACCCAGTGCACAGATCCAATCTCGTACCAAGGCTAAAATTTACTGTTCACAGCATATTTGAGGGTACTGTGCTTAAAACAGATTTACATGATAAACACTGAAAGGGTTCAGCAAGGTTATGACTGCAGATGCCAACAGTAAATACTGCAGCTAATACACTTTAACAGGCAGTGGTCAAGATCAGACCTAGATTTAAATTAATAAAATACTGTACAGAGCCAAACTGTTTTATACTTGAAATATGAAACTCAAGGTACTGTACTAAAATACATGCACCTACAAGGTTTTACAGGATCAAGTTTAAACTTACCATATCTGCAACTTTATCTTCTTTCCTCTCAACTCAATGGTTTTTATTTTGAAGTCAATACCTGAAAAGTGAAAGAAAATATAAATAAACTTTTCACAGCAAATGGCAGATTTTTCAAACTTATAGCTCAGTTTCTTTCCATGCTTTCCTGGTATGTTCTGCCAGGCTACTGCTGCCTTCATCCCAGATACACACATAACCTGTTTAGCCAAGTCTTTTGTAGATCTTTAGTTTCCTCCTGAGGATTTTTCCTTTGTTCCAACATTATCTCTTAAGCAAGCAACACTTCTTTACTAATGACACTTCTTTATTAATGACAATGTTTCACCCACTATGTAGATGAAACGTCATTATCAAAAGGTATCCACCAGGACTGTCATTGGTAGTTTTTTAATCCTTTGACTGTTTCGGTCGTACATACACGTCTTACAAGTCAGCGTTTTTGACATTTATACTCCAAAATTCTAGTGGCTTCAAATCAAGGAGAAAGCTGGTAGACCCACATGCGATAGAATGGGTCTGTGTGGTCAATGTGGGCAGTATTTAAAAAATCCTGCAGCAGGCAGTGCATGAGAAAAAAAAAAAAACTTTTTGGATTAAAATGTTGACTGAGGTGTATTTTCATATATAGTATTTATGGTTGTATTATCATTTCCTTGATCTCATTTGATAGAATGGAAGACATATTACAGAAATAGAGATGATTCTGATTGGTTTCACAATAAAAAGGACCTTGAAATTGAGCTTAAAGAAGTGAAAACATTTAATTTTTGCTGATGTTCAAGAGTAAACAAATGACATCATTGTCCAGTAAGTGTCCAATTAGCCATTTTAATGTGCAGTCATGAATGGGTTGACATTATTTATACAATTATTACAATAATGCAGTAGTCTGCATAACAGTAAATCTTCTAGTTTTTGTGTGAATAAAAAATTCAAAATAAAGCAAGAGTAATATAAGAGGGGCCTGGAGATGTGACTGATGAACAGAGAAAAATGTTATTTTAGTGCCAGGAATGTCTGCATTGTTCATTCTGGACCCTATTTTGAAATTGGCATTTTTTTTTTAATTTGCATGAAATTGGCCAAATTGCCAATTTCTGACCACTATTGGGTAGTGGACGTGTCAGCGGATGGGTCTATGAAAGATGAGGTGAATCATAGAATTGATGAGGGAAAAAGAGTGAGTGGTGCACTTAGGAGTCTGTGGAGACAAAGAACTTTGTCCTTGGAGGCAAAGAGGGGAATGTATGAGAGTATAGTTTTACCAACGCTCTTATATGGGTGTGAAGCGTGGGTGATGAATGTTGCAGCGAGGAGAAGGCTGGAGGCAGTGGAGATGTCGTGTCTGAGGGCAATGTGTGGTGTGAATATAATGCAGAGAATTCGTAGTTTGGAAGTTAGGAGGAGGTGCGGGATTACCAAAACTGTTGTCCAGAGGGCTGAGGAAGGGTTGTTGAGGTGGTTCGGACATGTAGAGAGAATGGAGCGAAACAGAATGACTTCAAGAGTGTATCAGTCTGTAGTGGAAGGAAGGCGGGGTAGGGGTCGGCCTAGGAAGGGTTGGAGGGAGGGGGTAAAGGAGGTTTTGTGTGCGAGGGGCTTGACTTCCAGCAGGCATGCGTGAGCGTGTTTGATAGGAGTGAATGGAGACAAATGGTTTTTAATACTTGACGTGCTGTTGGAGTGTGAGCAAAGTAACATTTATGAAGGGATTCAGGGAAACCGGCAGGCCGGACTTGAGTCCTGGAGATGGGAAGTACAGTGCCTGCACTCTGAAGGAGGGGTGTTAATGTTGCAGTTTAAAAACTGTAGTGTAAAGCACCCTTCTGGCAAGACAGTGATGGAGTGAATGATGGTGAAAGTTTTTCTTTTTCGGGCCACCCTGCCTTGGTGGGAATCGGCCAGTGTGATAATAAAAAATAAAAAATATTGGGTAGTTGAAATTGGTAAATGGGCGGTTTCTTGTACTCAATCGATAGAACAAATAGAGTTCTAAAGAAACGAGTTTGGTCGACTGGAACAATGGAATCGGCTGAAAATAGTGCTCAAAGTGGGCGAAATCGCCGATGCGTAAACATAGCCGAGACTGCTAATTTCGCAAAAGCGTAATTCCCCAAGTTTTTCATCAAATTTCGTACTTTTTGTGTCATTAACATCGGGAAAAGATTCTTATTATTTCATAAGAAAAAACAATTTTTTTTTTTAAATTTTGCGACACGGAGAGACTTTAGGATTTGGGGGTCACGACAGTTAATGGGTTAAATTACCATGACAAACTATTAGGTAGTTCTTCTAAACTGAATACCCAGCCCAGGTGGGCTGGGTATTTAGTTTAAAAAACACAGGGTCTGACCTGGCACCTTAGCTCAAAAAGTTATTATTTATTATGGTAGCAAAATAGTTATAGTAAATTAGCTCAATCTTTTATTTGTGCTTTTTATAGGTTGGGCCAAAATATGTAAAAAAAAAGGTACTGTACTGTTACCATATACATCAATAGAGCACGGCATAATTCAGATTAAAGTAATTCATTAATGGAATGTAGATCAGTGGTTTAACATAATTTTTACATGTAGAATATAAATATACACTCGTTATAAATGTGAAAAAAAAGATAACTAGAGCCAAGTACGTATATATACTATACAATATAGCATGCAATTTAACAAATAATTACACAAGAGTATGGGAAAGATACATTACAAATTTACAATCTGTAAGAAAGGCACTGACACTGATGAAGGCTTATTGTGGGTATGCTTCGTAATGTTTACTAATCATTGGCTTTACCCTTAAAAAAAGCAGCCTATTGCATCGAGCTTTCCAGTCTTTTCATTACCTGGTCTTTCTTAATTTAGTACGAATTTGCCCAAAAGTAGGTATCTTCCTTTCAACTGAAGCCAAGCTTGCTGGAAAGATACTCAATTAACCATACAAGGGCAAAATTAAAGTGAAACCAGAGACAGAATTCTGTTTTTTGTTTTCACAAGTTAATATAATCTTACCAAAATGCACAAACAACAGAGTGCGTTCATGCAAATCAATCCTTACTGTTGTATTTGACTTTTAAGAAGGCACAGAGATGAGGAATTAAACAGGTGCACACCTGGGAATCTTTATATGAAAAGTTTCCACCACTTGACTGTGCAGAAACTGTTATTTTTTGCATCAGCACTGATTAAGGGAACGTCTTCACCAATGGAGAGAGCAGACACAGGTGGGAAAACATTTTCATTGACTTGTGTCAGCTATTCAGCAGCTTCTTCCTCTTGTTTTACAGCAGACTTACTTAGCTGTTTTAACTTTTAAGGTTTAAATAATAAGATATTGCAAAGTCACCACCCCTCAAGGAAGGTTCCTTGACGTTGGTGAGGGGCTCTTGATCTAGGGAATTGGATCTGTGCTTCACTTCCCTGAATTAAGCCTGAATACCTTCCACATCCCCCCCCCCCCCACAGGCGCTGCATAATCCTACGGGTTTAGCGCTCCCCCTCGATTATAATAATAATACAAGGTCCCCAGAGGAAATAAGTCACTGATTTTGTGTTATCATTGGTAATTTAAACCACGTATGATAATTGTACTCGCGTGTACCTGTACCTAAATAAACTTATATCATGACAAAGACTCAACAAAAGACTCATTCAAGAAGAGGAAAAACAAAATCCTTTATTCGTACAGACTCTTCCTCCATCCTCGTACCAAACACCATTTTCCACACCCAGGCTCGCAAACTACCCTCCAGTCTTACTACCTCCCTCAACACGCCACCAATCGCCACTCCAACACTCAAACAATCATGGAAATAACAGAAGATAACGTGAAAATCCCACCCAAAAAATATTAGTATTTCTGGCCAACCTCAGTGACGGGTGTTGGTCAGGTGTGGCCAGACTCACCTATGGTGGATATAAACGTGGTGTTGAAGGCATCATCTGAAAATCTGAATAATATGCATGTCTTTCCAACGCCCGAGTCGCCTATAAGGAGAAGCTTGAATAACAAGTCATAAGTCTTCTTAGCCATTTTCACAATAAACTTGTGGTGTAGGAACCGTCGACTTGCTACCCCAACACCAACCTTCACCACCACCACCACGATATTCAGGACACTACACTTGTACCTTATATACCCTTCCATCATCCATATATTACTCTCTCTTAACTCATAATAAAGTAATTATACATTTCTCTAAATTCAGTTGTGTCTCTAGTGGGGAAATAAATATTAAATAAGTCTCGGGGATGTAAGGAATGTATTTATATGTGTCCATGGAATATTTGTTATATTTCATGAAAATAGCAACAGTATTTAGATAGTATACGTTATGTGGGTAATTTTTAAATGTAAAATAATATTCAAACAATATACTGGTTGGGGAAATTTATTCTAGTGACAAATTTAATTAATAACAATCCTAAGATTCTTTAGGTTCGTCTACTTGGCTTAAAAAATAATAATAACATTAACTCAATATTGCATCCTGAAAACATTAATGCAATCATCAAAATAAGGCGAATCACTACTCCCACCATCACAAAAATAATCACAAGTTAGAATTTTCAAAAAAAAAAAAAAAAAAAAAAGAGAGAGAATAAAGTCGAAGTTTGAGATGATTGGATGATTGTGTGATGACGTCATAAGATCACACCAGCCTGATGTCTTAGACTTAATAACCTTTATCTTCCCTCCCTGTTATTATGTCCACCTTGTCGCCATAACACACACACTCCCACTATAAACACACACACTCAAGCAGTGTATATAAGTTTTAAAGCTCACTCTACCTCATATAGAACAGAATTTCACGTGAAAAAACTCGCTCCACTCACCTAAGTTTAGACTCTCAGGAATTATCACCAAAAAATGGCTATAAAACACCTCTCGCGGATCTTATTTACATATCACCAATCAGCCTGATAATCACACTTCCATAACAGCATATATTTACACATTATACACCATCCATTACCATAAAATCACCTCAAAACATTAAAAAACCCGCGAGACCTGGTAAGTATTAGAGGTGTGGTCTCTATGTTGCCACTTTCCACAATATATTATTATTTTTTATATATGTCTCTGGACTTTTGCAACATTGTTTGTAATATATATGCAACCTGGGCAACGTATTTCACGCGTTAAATACCCATAAGAGAGATCAGTAGCCGGGAGAAGGTAGCTTAGTCTTAGACACATCACGTGACGTCATAATATATATATATATATATATATATATATATTATATATATATATATATATATATATATATATATATATATATATATATATATATATATATATATATATATGTGTGTGTGTGTGTGTGTGTGTGTGTGTGTGTGTGTACTGACACTTGTTGGAGGACATATGCCTAATCAGCGGCCCCTAGGCCTACTCACGCTACTCTAACAGCGCTTTAGACCCATTAATAACCCAGGAGTGCTAGTAAGCCAGGAGAGGTCCAGTAAAGCCAGTCTGTTGTGGCTTATTTTGCTTCCCCCGCCCTCGGGATGCCACCCGTAACAGTAGACTGGCATCCAGGTGTCTGTTGAGTGCTAGGTGACAGGTGTTAGCAGGCTTGCCCACACCTCCAGCCTGGTGTGGGGTTCAACCCCTGGCTTTCATAGGTTGTGAACCCGTGTGTGTGTGTGGTTCAACCACTGGGTTGTGAAACCGTGTGTGTGGGGTTCAACCACTGGGTTGTGAACCCGTGTGTGTGTGGGGTTCAACCACTGGGTTGTGAACCCGTGTGTGTGTGGGGGTTCAACCACTGGATTGTGAACCCGTGCGTGTGGGGTTCAACCCCTGGCTTTCATAGGTTGTGAACCCGTGTGTGTGTGGTTCAACCACTGGGTTGTGAAACCGTGTGTGTGGGGTTCAACCACTGGGTTGTGAAACCGTGTGTGTGGGGTTCAACCATTGGGTTGTGAAACCGTGTGTGTGTGGGGGTTCAACCACTGGGTTGTGAACCCGTGTGTGTATGGGGTTCAACCACAGGGTTGTGAAACCGTGTGTGTGGGGTTCAACCACTGGGTTGTGAACCCGTGTGTATGGGGGGGTTCAACCACTGGATTGTGAACCCGTGTGTGTGGGGTTCAACCCCTGGCTTTCATAGGTTGTGAACCCGTGTGTGTGTGGTTCAAACACTGGGTCGTGAACCCCTGTGTGTGGGGTTCAACCACTGGTTGTGAACCCGTGTGTGTGTGGGGTTCAACCACTGGGTTGTGAACCCGTGTGTGTGTGTGGGGTTCAACCACAGGGTTGTGAACCCGTGTGTGTGGGGGTTCAACCACTGGGTTGTGAACCCGTGTGTGTGGGGTTCAACCACTGGGTTGTGAACCCCCATGTGTGTGTGGGGTTCAACCACTGGGTTGTGAACCCGTGTGTGTGTGGGGTTCAACCACAGGGTTGTGAACCCGTGTGTGTGGGGGTTCAACCACTGGGTTGTGAACCCGTGTGTGTGGGGTTCAACCACTGGGTTGTGAACCCGTGTGTGTGTGGGGTTCAACCACTGGGTTGTGAACCCGTGTGTGTGTGGGGTTCAACCACAGGGTTGTGAACCCGTGTGTGTGGGGTTCAACCACTGGGTTGTGAACCCGTGTGTGTGGGGTTCAACCACTGGGTTGTGAACCCGTGTGTGTGGGGTTCAATCACTGGGTTGTGAACCCGTGTGTGTGTGGGGTTCAACCACTGGGTTGTGAACCCGTGTGTGTGTGGGGCTCAACCACAGGGTTGTGAACCCGTGTGTGTGTGGGGTTCAACCACAGGGTTGTGAACCCGTGTTACCTGGAGGTTACCTGGAGGTTACCTGGAGGTTATTCCGGGGATCAACGCCCCCGCGGCCCGGTCCATGACCAGGCCTCCCGATGGATCAGGGCCTGATCAACTAGGCTGTTACTGCTGGCCGCACGCAGTCCAACGTACGAGCCACAGCCCGGCTGATCCGGCACTGACTTTAGGTATCTGTCCAGCTCTCTCTTGAAGGCAGCCAGGGGTTTATTGGCAATTCCCCTAATGCTTGATGGGAGGCTGTTAAACAGTTTTGGGCCCCGGACACTTATGGTTTTTTTCCCTTAGTGTACCAATGGCGCCCCTACTTTTTATTGGGGTCATTTTGCATCGCCTGCCCAGTCTTTTACTTTCGTAGGGAGTGATTTCTGTGTGCAGATTTGGGACCATTCCTTCCAAGGTTTTCCAAGTGTAGATTATGATATATTTCTCCCTCCTGCGTTCCAACGAGTACAAGTCAAGTGCTTCCAAGCGTTCCCAGTAGTTAAGGTGCTTGACAGAACTTATACGTGCAGTAAAGGATCTCTGTACACTCTCTAGATCTGCGATTTCACCTGCTTTGAATGGAGATGTTAATGTACAGCAGTATTTTAGCCTAGAGAGAACAAATGATTTGAAAAGGATCATCATGGGCTTGGCATCTCTCGTTTTGAAAGTTCTCATTATCCATCCTATCATTTTCTTTGCACGTGCGATCGTGGCACTGTTGTGATCCTTGAAAGTGAGATCCTCAGACATTACTACTCCCAGGTCCCTTACATTATTTTTCCGCTCTATTGTATGGCCGGAGTCAGTAGTATACTCTGTTCTAGTTATTATCTCCTCCAGTTTTTCATAACGGAGTAGTTGGAATTTGTCCTCATTGAACATCATATTGTTTACCGTTGCCCACTGGAAAACTTTGTTTATATCTTCTTGGAGGTTAACCGCGTCCTCAGCAGATGACAGCCTCATGCAGATCCTAGTATCATCCGCAAAGGATGATACGGTGCTGTGGTGTATATCTCTGTTTATGTTTGATATGAGGATAAGGAATAAGATGGGGGCGAGTACTGTGCCTTGTGGAACAGAGCTCTTCACTATGGCAGCCTCCGATTTAACTCTGTTGACCACTACTCTTTGTGTTCGATTTGTTAGGAAGTTGAAGATCCATCTCCCCACTTTCCCAGTTATTCCTTTAGCACGTATTTTATGGGCTATTACGCCATGATCGCATTTGTCAAATGCTTTTGCAAAGTCTGTGTATATTACATCTGCATTCTGATTTTCTTCCAGTGCATCCAAGGCCATGTCATAGTGATCCAGTAGTTGTGAGAGGCAGGAGCGACCTGCCCTGAACCCATGTTGCCCTGGATTGTGCAGATTTTGGGAATCCAGGTGATTTGCAATCCTGCTTCTTAGCACTCTTTCAAATATTTTTATGATGTGGGACGTCAGAGCTATTGGTCTATAGTTCTTAGCTAATGCTTTGCTGCCACCTTTATGGAGTGGGGCTATATCCGTTGTTTTAAGTGACTGTGGAATTTCACCCATGTCCAAGCTCCTCCTCCATAGTGTACTTAGGGCACGCGAGAGGGGTTTCTTGCAGTTCTTAATGAAAACAGAGTTCCACGAGTCTGGGCCCGGGGCTGAGTGCATAGGCATGTTGTCTATGGCTTTTTCGAAATCTATCGGAGTTAGGGTAATGTCGGAAATCTGGCATACATTTATGGAGTTTTGAGGCTCATTCATGAAGAAATCATTTGGGTCGTCGATCCTCAGACCGATTAGTGGTTCACTAAACACAGAGTCGTACTGGGATTTCAATATTTCACTCATTTCCTTGTTGTCATCTGTGTAAGTCCCATCCTGTCTGAGTAAGTCCCATCCTGTCTGAGTAAGTCCCATCCTGTCTGAGTAAGTCCCATCCTGTCTGAGTAAGTCCCATCCTGTCTGAGTAAGTCCCATCCTGTCTGAGTAAGTCCCATCCTGTCTGAGTAAGTCCCATCCTGTCTGAGTAAGTCCCATCCTGTCTGAGTAAGTCCCATCCTGTCTGAGTAAGTCCCATCCTGTCTGAGTAAGTCCCATCCTGTCTGAGTAAGTCCCATCCTGTCTGAGTAAGTTCCATCCTGTCTGAGTAAGTCCCATCCTGTCTGAGTAAGTCCCATCCTGTCTGAGTAAGTCCCATCCTGTCTGAGTAAGTCCCATCCTGTCTGAGTAAGTCCCATCCTGTCTGAGTAAGTCCCATCCTGTCTGAGTAAGTCCCATCCTGTCTGAGTAAAGTCCCATCCTGTCTGAGTAAGTCCCATCCTGTCTGAGTAAGTCCCATCCTGTCTGAGT